AGGTTCACAACTTCACAGTAGGCTATACAGTAAACGCACCCTGCTGTTTAAAACGTGTATCGCGATTCGTTTAACATTTCAACCGACTTGAATCGTCACACATTTTTATTGATTTTCAACCGGTTGCGAGTGAATCGTTACATCCCTAGGAGGCGCTAATCTGCTGTGTCCCGTTAGGGCTCTAAAAATATGCTTAGAGCGCTCTGCGCCGTTTAGGCAGTCAGAACAGCTCTTTGTCCGCTTTGGTGGCCGCACCGAGGGGGTTCCGGTCACGAAGCAGAGACTGTCCAGATGGATAGTGGACGCCATTTCGCTGGCATACGCCTCTGTGGGCCAGGTTTGTCCCATAGGCGCTAAAGCCCATTCCACAAGACGCATGGCCTCGTCGTGGGCGTGGTCCAGTGGTGTACCAATTCAAGATATTTGTGCAGTGGCCGGTTGGTCCTCACCATCCACATTTTTCAGATTTTATAATCTAGAGGTACCTTGCCTGCAGGCCCTCTCAGTATGATATTAACCCGACGATGTCTGTTTTTTTATCTGTCTAGCATGTTACTGTCCATAAGCACAAGTAGTCCTAGGACGGTTATGAGCCCCAGTTTTATTCATGAACCCGACTCTGTCTGGTTAGTGTCATTATACTGGGAGACTGATTATGGCTTGTTCTGTTGAGCCTCGGGGTGTTTTCCCTAGGCTCCGGTTAATTCAGCCAGTTGCTAATGTGAGGCGTTTTACATTGCGTCCCCACTGCGTATTAGCTACGCAATACAAAGTGACTGTTCTCGGTTACTAACATAACCTTGGTTCCCTGAGAGTAAGGGAACGAGTATTGCGTAGTCTGCCGCAATATTGCAATCTGCCAGGATGTGTCGCTTCAGTCGATTTAAACCTGGCATTTTGGCCGAAATTAGCGATATACATTTACATTTTACATTTATTCATTTAGCTGACGCTTTTATTGCTTCAATATTTCAAGGAAAGGGAGTTTCCCCACTGTGTATTTGCTACGAAATACTCGCTCCCTTACTCTCAGGGAACCGAGGTTATGTTGGTAACAGAGTACGTTTCCATAGTTACCTATTCATTAGTGTGTGGAAAACAAAAATACCTTTCCTATAGATTTGGCTTATTTTATTAAAAAAAAACATGCTGAGATATTGTATTGTATGTATCATAGTAACTGATTTGTTTGCCCCACAATAAATCATGCCCCCATAAATAATGAGTCACCGACTGCGTCTATGATTGGAAACAATATACTTTTAATAATAAATTTCCTCAGATGCTTTGATATTACTACCGGTCAGACCCCATGTGCCTCATTATGATTGAAGAGACTCTGAATTATGAATAAACCTTCTAAAGCACAGTTATTATTCAGGTGGGAGGACAGGCTATTGCTTTGTGGCTTTTAGCATCTCCTCAATAAAATTCTCCGGGATGAAATGACTAATGTAATTGGCTTCACAGACTTCATTTACTTTCCCTGTGCCATTATCCATCTCCCCTTTATCCGGATTTTACCAAGGATTTTCCTATAGAAGGAAGCTGGAACAATTAATTATACTGTAGATGTGTTTGTCTTTCTGTAGATCAGCAAACTGTATGAAGACATTCTGCTGTGGTTTGCAGACCAATACTTTTTATTTTCAAAGCTTGTCACAAGAAGAAATTAGCTGTATACAACTCATTTTCGATTCATTTAGTTAGAGATACCACACAACATTGGACATTAGACATAAAATACAAAACATTTCATCATACATTTTTTTCTCATAAACATTCATGTGCACAATAATGTGCACTGATGAATCATCAACAATAAGACCAGGAATGTGATTTAAGAATTTAAATAGGGCCACTTTTAATAGCTTTAACTAATACAAATTATGATAAAACAATGGCAAATGCTTCAATTATTAATTCCACAGTGCATGACAAAAGCTGAATGTTACATTTCGTCAAGGTTCATAGTGTTGAATCTCTTTGTTTAGTAGATACATTTATTAAATGTAAATGTATAAATGTGAATTTCACAATTTGCATACATAGTACAAACTAAATGATCTATGGTTTGAATTGGTATTTTCCATATATTATGTTTCAGGGCTGCAGTATATGCACTTTACCTTATGAATTAACTTTCTGTCTTATTTCTCTTACTTTAGCATGTAAAAGAATGTTAATTGTTCTCAGTATCTGTCAAATGTCATATTTTAGGTCATGCAACTGCACAGCAAACATGCCGAATAAATTATGTATGCGGCTCGCACAATAAAGGCAAAAAATATAAAAAGCTAGCCTAATATTCATCTGCGAAATCACGAACATTGCGCCACTTTAGACTTTTTCACTAACACTACCAACAAGCTCAATTAACTTTTATTTTATTTTTGGTCAGATATGTTGTATATCTGAATTTCACCAACAGCTAGTTAGTTCGTTTCTGCAGGTTACATCGTACACCAGTAGGTGGCGGCAAGTGACTGTCTTTTGAGTGAGTTATTCGTTCATTCAACCAATTTGCTCAAAACACTGGAACAAAACAATTGACCAGTGTTGAGGGTAATGCATTTCAAGTAACGTGAGTTATGTAATAAGATTACTTTTCTCAAGTAATGAGTTGGGTACTGTTGTTCTAGACAATGTAAGGATGCATTTACTCATCTCTCTTGCGCAGGTTCAGTATTCCTCAGAATGAATAAAAACACTGAAACACAACAAACCTCCAATAACTAAATATGTTAAATATGATAAACATACTTAAAGGGATAGTTCACCCAAAAATGAAAATTCTGTCAGTAATGACTCTCCCTCATGTTGTTCCAACCCCGTAACACTTTTGATCATCTTCGGAACACAAATTAAGATATTTTTGATGAAATCTGAGAGCTGTCTCACTCCTCCATATGCTTCTATTGTAATTGAAAACTGCCGGCCCAGAAAGTTAGTAAAAACATAGTTAAAATAGTCCAAGTGACTTAAGTGGCTCAACCTTAATTTTATCAAGCGACGAGAATACTTTTTGTGCGCAATACCAGCATCACACTCATGACTACAGTTTCATTTAACTTTTGGTGCGAAAAGGGCTTTTACGTTTGCCAGACACAGAACTTTTTTTTGTTATTATATTTCAAACAAGCAAGTCCAGCCCAGGTGAGATAAAGTAATGCAAAAGTAACATAACCCATTACTTGCCATAAAAAGTAACTAAGTAACACATTTTGTTGCTTTTTTAGGGAGTCGTGCAACATTGTAATGCATTACTTTTAAAAGTAACTGTCCCCAACACTGCAAGAATTTAGGTGGGATTCATTGAACCATTCACTCAACCAAAAACACTTATTCATTATGTAACAAACACAGCGACTGTATAGCCGTTTCCATCCAGCAACATGGTTTCCATCCCATGTATTCAAGAGAATAAAATGGTCACTTCCTGGGATATTGGTGCAAAATATCTGTAGAAAAGGAAGTTGCTCCAATCGGGGAAGCCATTGTGGCTCTTTCTTTGTACATCATAAATGACTTGCACCTTAGAGTAAGCAGAAGAAACTCAATATTCTGGTGTTTGGGAATGCACTCGTGTGAGACAGTTGAATTTTAGTTAGCTAGATATTGGCGGACAGTGAAGAGACCTGAACGGCAGTATAAAGAGACAATTTCCAGAGGGTAAAAACAAGTCAATCGGCATAATTTGGTATGTACTTAATGGAAAATGTGCTGGTAATCTAGCAAAGAAAAGAGTTCCGGTCTGGCTGTGAATATATGGGAGGGAATCACAGATTCTTTGTTTTGTTAGAAAATCACCAAACCATGTATTTTTGCCCAGTGTTGCCTTAACATTTGTATACCTACACTCACCTAAAGGATTATTAGGAACACCTGTTCAATTTCTCATTAATGCAATTATCTAATCAACCAATCGCATGGCAGTTGCTTCAATGCATTTAGGGGTGTGGTCCTGGTCAAGACAATCTCCTGAACTCCAAACTGAATGTCAGAATGGGAAAGAAAGGTGATTTAAGCTATTTTGAGCGTGGCATGGTTATTGGTGCCAGACGGGCCGGTCTGAGTATTTCACAATCTGCTCAGTTACTGGGATTTTCACGCACAACCATTTCTAGGGTTTACTAAGAATGGTGTGAAAAGGGAAAAACATCCAGTATGCGGCAGTCCTGTGGGCGAAAATGCCTTGTTGATGCTAGAGGTCAGAGGAGAATGGGCCGACTGATTCAAGCTGATAGAAGAGCAACTTTGACTGAAATAACCACTCGTTACAACCGAGGTATGCAGCAAAGCATTTGTGAAGCCACAACACGCACAACCTTGAGGCGGATGGGCTACAACAGCAGAAGACCCCACCGGGTACCACTCATCTCCACTACAAATAGGAGGAATTTGGCATAAACAGAATGAGAACATGGATCCATCATGCCTTGTTACCACTGTGCAGGCTGGTGGTGGTGGTGTAATGGTGTGGGGGATGTTTTCTTGGCACACTTTAGGCCCCTTAGTGCCAATTGGGCATCGTTTAAATGCCACGGCCTACCTGAGCATTGTTTCTGACCATGTCCATCCCTTTATGGCCACCATGTACCCATCCTCTGATGGCTACTTCCAGCAGGATAATGCACCATGTCACAAAGCTCGAATCATTTCAAATTGGTTTCTTGAACATGACAATGAGTTCACTGTATTAAAATGGCCCCCACAGTCACCAGATCTCAACCCAATAGAGCATCTTTGGGATGTGGTGGAACGGGAGCTTCGTGCCCTGGATGTGCATCCCACAAATCTCCATCAACTGCAAGATGCTATCCTATCAATATGGGCCAACATTTCTAAAGAATGCTTTCAGCACCTTGTTGAATCAATGCCACGTAGAATTAAGGCAGTTTTGAAGGCAAAAGGGGGTCAAACACAGTATTGATATGGTGTTCCTAATAATCCTTTAGGTGATTGTACATATAATTTATGTTTAACTGGATGACTACTGATACTTTTGTAAAGCTGCAGTGTTAATTTCAACTTCAAGCACTGACAATAGTACAAAATGTACAAGTTGAAGTTTGTTTCTCAGGAAAAGTTGGTCTTATTCTCCTGGCATTCATCCATATCATAATCTTCTCCTTCAGTAGTAATGGTGCCATTGCAGGGTGGGACTTCACTCCCAGTGCTGCGCACAGTAACCCTCGTCATGCTCAGAGAGTATTTCCTTGGGGCAGGATGCCATTTGTGGTGGCACATCACCTCTTTAAACATCTCCCTGAAGCGGGTGGACATTAGGTTGTAGAGAATTGGATTAATGGCTGAGCTCAGATAGAAGAAGACCCCGGAAATGACATGGACATACTCATAGACCTGGAAAATCTTCATGTGTTCACTGTTCTTCTGGTCCATGAAACTCCACATGAGACGATCGGTGTGGAATGGAGCCCAACAGATGCCAAACATGACCACTAGTACAACTGAGGAGAAAAAATACATGTGTTACAGATAAACAAGTTAAATATTATTGAGCGTTTCAGCCTGTATGCTTTGACTTGAACTTATGCATTACTGATTACATGGATAAATAAGGGGAAAACAACTATGAATTGTCACTCACTTTGAAGAGTGATGACATCCAATTTAAAGTTAATAAAAGACAAAAATAGATGTGACTAAGAGTGCTTGAAGGAAGCATACACAAACATCTCAAATGCAATGTTACTCTACTGCTTGCCTACATTTCCAGCATCACATTTCCAGTAGTTTTAAATTTTCCTGCTCTATGTGACTTAAATATGTAACCTTATGGCTGCGGAAGACTTTTAATTTATTTAATATATTTTAATATTTTGTACAAGACGTTTGGAGTTCTGAACATTATGTTTTATTTTTTCCTTTAAATTTAACAACCAGTATTATGGGATCGAAGTTGCTGCCACAGAATAATAAAAGTATCAGAATTCGGATTTTTTTTTTTTTTTTGAACCATTTAAAAAAAAAAATCACTTAAGTCGTTAGAACCGTTTGTGGAGAAATGTGATTGTAAGTAAAAAAAAAAAAAAAATTAAAATTCAATGAAATTCATACAATAGATTTAGTTTTGACATTCTTTAATATGCTGTCATTTTTTTGCAATGAATAAATTGTGATTCCACTTGTCTGCCTGTTATGTTTTTCTTAATAACTACATATTTTTCAGAAATGGGTAGGTTTAGAGGTAGGAGTGGGATTAGCTTCTCAAAATATAATTTAAATTCTATATCGTTACTAACATTGTCATTTTCCTACACATTTCTGTCCATTAAGTTGTATGTATCCTTTTTATATTCTCTATAAAATGGTTATGTTTAGGTTTGGGGTAGGGTTTAGGGATCTAAAATTCATCCATAAATTGGTAAAAGGGCAATTATACAACATATTAATAATAATGTTTACGTTTAAATGTCACCAAAACGTCCATTTTGTACGTTTCAGCATCTACCCAAATGTACAAAAAAGTAAATGTCGTACCCTTAAATGTTATGTATTAATACCTACGTATTAACAATGAGACCAGGCTGACTATTTAAATGGTTATATGTCAGCAATGATTTGGGGGTATTATATCATACTATATCATATATCATTAGAATGCAGAGACTGCAGTCTATTCAGTGCATAAAACTCAAGATGTGTTTCAAAACGACTCAAAGTACTGGAGCAGATCACATATGTTAAGAATATGTTTGAAGTGTACTGTAATGTGATTCAAAACAGCCATGGCTACATACACAAGAATGTAATTATTGGCCGGCTGGCCTACTCACACAGCATTTTAGTGACCTGCTGGCGACGTTTTTTCTGCTGCTGACTGCGCACATTAGAGGAGCTGTCTTGTCCCAGACTGGCTTTTGCCTCCAGGACCTGCAGCATCTTCTCTTGCTTCAGCCGCATGCCAATGAGCAAATACAGCACACTGATGGTCAACATGGGCAGGAGGAAAAACAGCACAGTGGTGATTTGGATGATCAGGTTGTACATCCAGCGTGGCTTGACCAGCATGCAGGTGGCGGATGTGAGCATGGCTCCTGCTCCTTTCCCTTTGGGAAGAGGAAGGGTAAAGATGCCATGGAGGCTGGTGTTGGGAATGGCGCACAACACAGACACGCTCCACACGGTCAAGATCACGCGCTTGGCATGAGTGCGCGTCACTACGTATTTAGCCCTGAGCGGATGGACCACGGCTATGTAGCGCTCCACGCTCAGCGCCGTCACATTGAGGATGGAGGCGAAGCACACAGTCTCAAAGAGGAAGGTCTTGAAGTAGCAGCCACCCTTGCCCAAAAGGAACGGATAGTTACTCCACATTTCATAGAGCTCCAAAGGCATTCCCAGGAGAAGCACCAGCAAGTCCGACACCGCCAGACTGAACAGGTAGAAGTTGGTGGGTGTCCTCATGACCTTGTTGCGAGCGATAACAATGCACGTAAGTATGTTTCCCACCGCTCCCACCAAGAAGATGAGCAGGTAGGTGATGCAAACAGGCAGGAACACCGGAGAACGTCTAGGTCCCAGATATTTCTCCAGATACTCGTCTTGGTTGAGGCAATACTCTTCCATCTCCACGTCACTGAAGTTCGACACAACACTGGTGTTGCACAGCAGATCTTGGGCGCATCTTAAAGCAGAGGAATCCGCCGAAGAACAGTTGGGTTGGGCAATCATTCTGAACCTAGTGAATGAAAGGGTTGGACACATCAGATAAGGAACACATTTCTTGGCAAGTGGACGGATTGAGGACAGATTGAGAGTTTTTTAGGCAGTTGAGAGCGAGGCAGAAGGAAACAGGGAAAGATAATATGGGACTGTTGGAGATTTGATATTAAAACTTAAGTTTTTTTAATCTCATATAAATAATGGGAAGTTGATTCATACACTAAGCACATGAAGAAAGCTTTATGCGGCAATGGTCAATATTATTAATTAATTAATTTGGAAAGAAAAGAGGAGATATATGTAACAGAATATGGTATAGAATACGGTCTTGTAACGAAGTGTGTCTTAACTGTAAGGATCCACTGGAGGCAAGTTGTAGCGAGAGAACCCAAGTGCAGTTTATTCAAAATAACACATAACAAGATCAAAACATAAAACAAAGCATGACGTGGCATGAAACAAAAACCGTGGACAATGGCTGCGTTTACACTTGGCATTAACATGCGATCACCGTGATCCGGATCATTAGCCAATCAGGACACGGTGCGTTTATATTTGTTCACATTAAGCAGCCTCTGTATCTGGATAACCGATCGGATTTCTGTTTCCCGCATAATATTTAAATCAGGTCTGTGGCACGACACCAGATTAATAAAGATTATACAAATTAAACAACATCCCAATTGCTTTCACTCACTAAATTTACTTTCATATGCAATCTCCATTAATTAGATCAAATTATAGTTTTTTGAAAGAAGGAATACTTCCAGAGTTGATCTTACAAAAATAAATGGGTTAATCATGTTAAACAAGTCACATCATCCATCATCTGGGGTTAAGGTTGCGTGCAATGACTATATTGACAGAAATGGGAGATTGATAAACATGCTGAAACAATAAAAACATTCAACATTTAAAACATAAAAAGATTCCGATTCCGATTATTCCTCTGGCATAGCAGCGTTCAGCTCTTCATTAAGATCATGGCTGACTGTGAGTGTACAGGCGATCGCCTCGTTCAGATAATGTTGCACAATTAAAATGAAAAATGACACACATAAATAAACTGTTTTAAAGATTGACGTTTATTTTTCAAGTAAGTTTAATTTCGTGTCTAAACTGCGTCTGGCCATTACTTTCTGACAGTCATGCGGGGAGACTGGGCGGGGATTTAAATGACGTTCACCTGTGAATGCAGACACGATGGCTGGATTACGTTTACATTACACTGAGATCCGATCACAATGCGTCCTCGACTACCTCCGAACCTGGAGACTTACTCAATAGTGATTACAGGAAACAATACTTGACAAAGACACATGGCAAACATGAGGGCTTAAATACACAGACTAATGACAAGACAAGGGACACTTGTGAACAATGAACAGACGATTAACCAATGACAAGACACATGGCAGGATCACATGACAGACATGGAACATGACATGCACAAACCAAAACGTGACAGAGACAAGACCAAATCGTGACAGTAACAAACACTGCAGTCTTTAATGAATAAATCCAAAGGAACACTTAGGAGTATCTTATATAAATATATTTTATATTAAATATAAAACAACCATATAAACTGAAACGACATGGAACAATGAACGGAGGAAACTAAGGGGCCGTTTACATGACAACATTTTTTATGCGTTTTGACTGTTCATTTACAAGACAAAGGCGGTCTGAAAACGGGTTTCAAAGTGCAACATTTTTAAAACGATACCATTATTATGGTCTCCGTGTAAACTACAAAAATGCAAATTTGTGAAAATGGTAGCATCATGTGCATGTGTATTACGTGTTCAGTCTATAGACGGGTAGTGTTTCTTTAAAAAGTGACTTCGCCATCTACTGGCTTTTAGTTTTGTCGTTTTCATGGATCCGTCTGAACAGGGATCGTTTTAACAACATTACGCGAAAAACGCGAATGAAAAACTTTTCCGTTTCTAGTACATCGTTGTTGTGTAAACCTGCCCTTAGCAAAAAGGTAACAAGGAGACTAAATGAACAACAGGTAAACATAATCGGTAACGCTTTAGATTACAGCCCGGAAAGTACTGTGTAATTAGGAGGAATTTACAGAGTAACTTTCCGTAATTATAGTGTACCTATAAAGTACTTACATGTAAGTATAAGGGAACAATATGTAAAGTTTGGGGAATAAAGGGGTAACAACCAGGAGAATTAAAAAAATATTTATACTGTAAGTATTATAGAACTAAGGGGAACTTATTCTACTATTATGACACAACAATCTTACATTTGGGAGCAATTTAGCGAGAACATACACTGCGTACATTTTTGTAATAATTGTGTACCAATTATACATACTGTATAGGCTTTTTTTAAATAACAGGGTACATATCTATGCATTTATACTTGTGTTTTTTTTTATAGCAAAAGTGCAGATGTTTAAGTTTGGGCTAACATGTTTCAAGGCAAGAAAAGCTAAGACTATTGCAATTTTTTTAAATACTGGGAAACATATCTTGTTTCATGGGGTTACAGGGTAAGTGGTGCTTGTATAATAAATAAAGGTTTCCGAGTCAGTGGTATAAGATTGTGTATGCATCTTTATTGTACTTACCCTGTAACTACATGGAGCAAGAGGGTAACAAGCTACATGAAACAAGAGTATCTTTCCACAATATTAAAGTAAAAGTTGCAATATTTTTCGTTTTCAGTGCACTTTTGTTGTTTTCATATTACTTTATAAATGCATAGATGTACCCTGTAATTTTTAAAAAGCCTATACAGCATGTATTGGTTCACCATTATTTAAAAATGGTACGCAGTGTATGTTCTTGCTAAATTGCTCCCAAATGTAAGATTGTTATATCATAATAGTAGAATAATAACCCCTTAGTTCTATAATACTTACAGTATACATATTTTTTTAATTCTCCTGGTTGTTACCCCTTTATTGCCCAAACTTTACATATTGTTCCCTTATACTTATATGTAAGTACGTTATAGCTACACAATAATTACTGAAGGTTACGCTGTAAAATTGCTTTAATTACGCACTACTTTCCGGGCTGTAATCTAAAGCGTTACCACATAATCAAATCATAAAACCAACTAATTAGCAAACACAACTCAACAGAAATAACAGAATAAGAACAGAATAAAAATTAAACCAAAACAGAACGAGACAGTTACAGGTCTAGTATGTTGCGGCATTTCAATTCAATACATTTTAATTTGACGGGATTCGTCCAAATCCGTAATACACTGAAAAGAGTTTGTCAAAGCTCATGGTAGGTCTATTTCTAGTATTTTTCAAAGATAAGTCATATATAACCCATGTTTTGAAAATTTATAGCAGTGGAATTGGAAGTAATGGGGCAAAAATAAATCAAGCGGAGAAAAAAAAGACGGGAAAAAGGAAGTAAATGAAGCTATATCCCAATGTGACCATTTATTCGGCAGTGAAGCCCCCAATGGATAGGTGGAAGTGGATGGGAAAGAGCGAACCGCTGCAGGTGCACGGAAATCGTTTAAATTTGAGAAGGACTGCTGATTCCCCAGCAGGATCTGGCCTGATGGTTGAGAAGATGCTATTAGTAGAAGAGGCAGGGATGGTCTTTGGCGAGTTGGAGGAATGAGACACCTTTTGTTTCAGCTTGCAGGATTATAGTGTTCTCCTTTTCAAGCCAATGTGATGGTTATACAAAGATGAAAGCATAACATTTCACAGAAAGTTGATGATGTAATGTTTCCACACACTTAACCACAAATTAATTATATTTTAAACTTAGATTAAATGCAATTAGTTGAGCTAAATAGTGCTTTTTTGAACAACTTAAGTAGGACATAAGCACATCTTTAGATGTAATTTAATAGTTACTTCCATTGTCTTTAAAATATGGTTAACGTGTACTGCCAAATGTACTGACAAACATTTATAGTAAACTAAAATATATACTTTAATGAAATTTCATGTATTTAAATATACATGTAATTACACATTTATAATGATAAAGTTGTGATTAAGTACACTTAAAATATACATTAACCAACACACTACAGTTAAAATTATAATCAAGTACTTAACATTTGCTTCAGTCAACACATCAAAATACGTGTACTACGTATAAAACTATAAAATTTGAAGTACGCCACAAATGCACAGTCAATACAATTATTTTGTACGACATGTATGGATTACACAGCAGATTCACAAAATCATAAATTTAATCCTGGCAACAGGCTGATGTATATGCAAGTAAATACAATAAAATAATATTTATTAATGTTCTGTCGTTTGTTTATCCCAATAACTAGTAACACCAAAACCGCACTTAGCCAAATGCTTGCATTGAATAAAAAAATAAAATAAAAAATACTATAAACTTTGTATTTTTCAGCATAATTATTGAGGCATCAACAAGTGTGCCAGACATTTTAAAAGACAATATAAATAAAATAAACTCTTATTTTACTTTGTGTAAATAGAACTGATTTAATTGAGTCTAAAACCTAATTTACACATTCCCCAGGACATTTAATTAAGAGGAAACCACTCAAATCAATTGTCAATTCCAATGTGCCTCCAGTATCTGACAAGATGCATATAAAGCAATAGTAATAAAAAAGTATTTAAAAAGAAACTCTGAATAATTAAAAACATTAACAAAAAGCTTACCTTTTGCAATGCGCAATCCAGTATGTTAAAACACCAGTTGATGGTTGAATTAAAACTGATGGTTCGGAGGGTTCTCGTCAGAAGCCCATAGCTGCTAGTCAACCGCTATTCTAGTTTTAAGATTATGGGAGTGTTTCCTTGGTTATACAGAGAAACACAGTTATGCTCTCTCTCTCTCTCTCTCTCTCTCTCTCTCTCTCTCTCTCTCTCTCTCTCTCTCTCTCTCTCTCTCTCTCTCTCTCTCTCTCTCTCTCTCTCTCTCTCTCTCTCTCTCTGCCCCTGTTCTGTGTGTCATCACAAGTCTTGTTTAACCCTATACAAGCATTGGGCATTTTGTTTGGTCTCTTTTCATCTTTCA